TTGTATTTTCCTAGCCCACCCTGTGTCCTGCACGTCCCCGGAAGGTATAGAACAGAACACGACTTGCACACCGGCTCCTTGAACTATCCGCCCTAAACCCCTGAAATCTCTTTTCATAGTTCGCAGGCTCCTCTGAGCAATTTCATCGCTGCCCGCCTGAACTATGGGTAATGGGTAGTAATCAGTGGGGTGAACCAGCTCAGGGAGCCTTCTTGTTATATCCCTGACCCGGGCCCCAGGGAGGCAGCACACTTCCCTACGGCTCCGGTCCGGTCTGCAAATGGGCCTCTCCGTTCCTCTGAGAATGGAGTCACATACCACAACCACCCTTCTTTCTTTCCTGGCAGAGGCAGTCTGAATGCGCAGAGTTGACTGCCTCGCCCTTGGAAACCTCTTAGGGGAACCTTCCTGTGCCTCCCCACTTACCTCCCCTTCCATGTCCAATGCTGCAAACCTATTGCTCAGGGGGACCCGGGGACACGGGGCAGGCAGAGGAGGGGTTTGCCTGATTCATACCGAGTCTGAACTGGTTTGTGTTCTCATGACAAAAAGATGATGACCACTATTAATGCTTAATTCACTGCAAATTTAGTTTCAGCTTTCTAGGTATGTGTAATTGTTGCAAAATTCAGTCTATGCCTTCAGTGCTAGTGACGCCCAAGTTTCTTTCATACTAGACTTAATCAATGAGCTACAGACAATAAATGTTTAGGTGGAGTGTAAATAATTATTTTGTGACTGGTATGTATGCTTTTAGGTTTGAGTGTACTTTAGTTACTTATGGAGGCTTGTGTATTCAGGTGGCAAAAGTTTGAAGACTAGAACTGCAGGAAAAGGCAGTTCTGTGCCCTGTTGGACTGTTTGTTGTATTGTAGATATCAAACCACTGATATTTCTGTAACTGATGTTTAGCAATGCAGTTGCTGGTCAGAGTGCACTGGACAGGATGGCATGTGGCCTTGGAGGAAAACTTGTTTTACCTATGATTAAAGAACATATTATGCAAATGCTTCAGAATCGTAAGTAACTGCATTTTCTTCTACAATTCTATCTTTTGCAGGAACTCTGTTACCTTTTAAATCTTCCTGTTTAGCTACTTAGTATATTGTTATACACTTCCACTTTTGATTTCAGCAGCAAAAACTGTAAATGCTCTGAACTTGGAATTTTATACCTTTTCATAGACTGTGATTTATTAAACTTATATACAGTGTACTGCAACATTTTTCTGGAACAGGGACAGCTGAACGGGGATGTGAAAACCAAAACAATACTTCTTTTTAAAACTCAGTCTGTGAATTAAATATAAGTAAGGGAAGACTTTTATTTTAGAATATTCTCTCTAAATCCCCGTACAGTGCTTAACAGCACTTTAGTGTGCCTAAACTGCCACCTATTATTCTGTAGCTCAATTTTTTTGTTTGTTCAGAAGTGCTGCATTTAAGTGAAATTTCAATATATTACAGTTCATGGAGGAAAACTGGTTCTTTTTTTTTCCCCTGTAATTTTATGGACCAAAATACAGAAGTCTGTGGTAGACTGACTGTCTTTTTGGTATGCTGATTTTAATACTTGTTTCATGAGGTGGTTCCATATGTTCTTATCTATTGCTTTGTATGCTGCTTTTCCTCTTAAAATACCTGTAATGCTTGCTCAGGAAATAATTCAAAAAAATATCGTGCATTTGTTGCATGCACTTCCACTTGACCTGTGCTTTGAGCCTTTGATGTAGTAGATCATGCGGAAGTTCTGAGTACTTTTCCTACCTTCATGATTTAAAAGCCAATCCAAAAAAGACTGTTACTATATTGGATATGGAACATAGGGCTGCTCAAGGTACCACCTGCAGAGTGTGAACTCTTACAAAGTCTGCTTGGAATTAAGTTTTCTGGTAAAGGAAGCTGTTTTAAGGAAACAGATTAACTTTACTCTTCCAGTGTTAATAGCTTCAAGGCTAGCAAATGCCTAGCTTTGTAGTATCCACAGAAAAGTGTGGAGACTAATGGTTCTAAGACCTGACCCCTGTGAAGTGGAGAGGTCATGCAGTTGATGCCTGATGCTTGCTTTCTGCTGGGTCAGAGCTTTCCATAACCATTAGTGCTCTGTAAAAGCTTTGGAAGCAATAGATAGTGTTTAGTTCAGAGGCTCTCAGTGGTAGAGAGTTGGGAGGAAAGATGAAGACATTTAGATTAAAACATCATCAGTACTCTCAGAAATCAAACTTTTCCTTCTCCTACCCCCAGCACTTTTCTCATAAATGTTTATTGAAATATTAATTTAAAATTTCTAGGTTTGGATTGGGTAGCCAGATGGTCCAAACGTTATTGTGTTTCATTTTGTAGTATCATTAATTTCAAGTCTGGAATTCACGCTAATAGTAATACAGTGAGAAGAAAGAGAGGTGCAGGCTTAACTGGGAACATCCAATGAGCTCAAATAGCAGCAAAATAAACTGCTTCTTCACTGTACCTTGTTTCAAGACAATATTTCGTCTCAACCAGGTCACACAGAAGCTTGAACATCAGGATTCCTGTACTCTAAACTGTGGTGTTCTCTATTCTAGGAATTTAATACATTACCAGCAGCAATGAAATCTTGCACTATTTCAGGAAGGAAATTCTGTTACGTACCTTTCCCACCAGGCATTTGATAAACCTGTTTGTTCTGGTTTTCTTTTCTGTCATGCCCATGGTTTCTAGCACAGAGAAAGATTTTTATAAAAATAAATAAATAAACTGTCATTTCTCATATGTTTCCCTGGCCTAGAGAAAAAGGAGAGGAATGTGAAAGATCCGTTTCAACAATGCCCATTAGCCTGACAGTAGACTTGGGGGGTGGCGTGGGGGATACCTTTACATCCCTAGATGGAATGCTACTGTTCTTAAGACAGTCTTGGGGAGACTGATGAAAAGTTTTGTTCTGATTATTTGTTTTAAATTTAGATATTGTTTGGTTCCGTAGACCTTTTTTCCTTCCTGACCTAAAGAAGAAGGTATAGGCTGTTTTGATATCATTTAATTAAAAAAAAAAAAGGAGAGGGAGGAGGAAAAAGAAATACTGTCATGATATTTCCCTGATTAGCTCATTTAATGAAAATGCAGTTCCCAGGTTTTAGTATCATGTACATACTTGTATCAGCAGTTTAGAATTCTTTTTTCTACTTCTGGATTTGGCCTGGATTAGGTACTCAAATTTTTGTGCATATCTGGAAGTATGTATGAGGAGAAGTGAAAAGTATTTAACAAATCAAGTAGATGCATCAATTTCATTTCC